TGAAACTTGAGAAAGGTGCAGTATATAATCAGCATTGAAAAAAAGGCATCCAAGGATTTTTAATAAGGGCTAGAGGGCAGGAACCCAGCTGCATGTCTCATCCATCCAGTGGCACCTCTGGAACTGCAATTTTCCATACTGACTCAGTGGAAAAGCAGCATAGCTTACTCAATTGTCCACACTTACTGTCAAGTTTATTTTGGAAATTCTTCCAACTTAACCCAACTTTGTTTATTTTGATGTTGGAGAACAGACTCATAGGGCGCGGGCACAAAGTGAGAGGGAAATCACAAAGTAAACACTGAGTCATCAAGGCCAACCATGCAAGTCCCACTCCCCATCTTCAGAGGCTACCGCTGGTGCACAGGTTTGGACCAAGAGTGGGGACTTCTACTCATGATCCCCTCTGAGGAAGCTTTCTAAAGGATGGGAAAGATTCAGTAAGGAATATCAGGATCAGTACTGACCCACATACACCATTAAAAGGAGTGGCAGGTCTCAACTTTATGGGGGAGTCCCAGTGCAGTGACAATTTTATGTTTGCACTAGAGGACTCTGTGCCTTGGGAATTTGTTGGGAAAAAAATCACCAGCACTGATATCCCACAGATGAGATAATATGTATGTAGAAGCTAAGGATCCATGCATCATATGCCTCATCCTATGCTTCAGTATCCTGGAGGCAAGGTATTGTCCAGCCTTCAGATTTCCCAAGTAGTAGAATAAGGCTGTAGCTGTGGGACACATAAACTGCAGAGAAAAAAAAAAAACAGCCATCTCCAGGATGGGGGTGCAAAGCTGCTTCTTTGCTACTGAACCAAAATCCAGCTAAAATGGAAAGGGAATTCACTATGTTTGACTTTGGTGAGGGTGAAGGGTGTCTCAAAGCAGTGAAGACTGTCCTGGTAGAAAGAACCAAGGACAGCAAAGGGCTCCTTTCTCCCTGTCTTTGAGAAAGGATTTAGATTTGGCCACTGTGTGTTTATCACCAAAGGGCATTGCACCCTTATGTGCACCAATTCCTCTGCCACAGCCAATCCAACTTTGGGGACCCTCTGCTGAGCAGTAGTGGCAGAGATACCACCAGTTGCACTGGAAATCCAAAGGGTGTTCCAGCAACAAGTGACTTTCCACACTCGACGAGTGGTATCTATATGACTATTCACCTGTCTTAAGAAAACGTTACAGACCTCCGAATCCACTGACTACAGATCTCTTCTGACTTTTCCAGAAAGTTAGTATACTCTAATCAGTATGCCAAAATACAGAAATTCTGAAATTGTAAAGCAGTGTCTGCATTTTTCACAAACTTGATTATTTTCACACAAACAAATAAAGCAAATCAAAACAAAAAAGCAAAGAACACTGATCTAAAAAAATTTTCTCAGTATGTTTTTGAAACCTTGATGAAAGTTCTCAAGATAATTATTGCTGAACTGTGAATATTGTGTTAGTTACCTTAAGGTACAGAAATCTCCTGTCACCCACCTTTCCTCTTGAGCTCTTAGTTGATCATTAACTGCTTGTGATGAATAGTTTCTTCCATTATCCAAACTACATATCTGTCCTCATTAGACAATAGCCAGCTATGCTGGCAGTTGAGTGCATTTAGGATTAGGTATTCCCTATTCTTATAGTTTTACTTAGTGGAAATTTGCAACATGTAGTAATCCAATTGCCAAAAAAAAAGATACATGAGATTATGTAAGGAAAAATATTTATTTTTTTTAAAATAATGAGCATACAGCATATTCCTCTTTCAGCTTTTCCAATTCTAAAATATATGGGAAGTTAAATGTCTTAAAAGGATTCAGTAACCTAAATACCTCTCTAAATATTGGCCAGAATGATGTTGGAATCAGACAAAGTAACTAAAAATATTTCCATTTGCTTCAGTAAAGTTTGGATCAAACTCTTCAGATGTGACTGTTTTACTTGTCTTAGTATATTACAAACCTTAATACTGAACATGTCAAAGGAGCATCCTGCCTTTTCATTCTCTCTTCCTTCTCTCCAGCCCTGCACCTTCCATGGCTGTTTTTTATGCTTCATTTGCCTGTTCCCCTTTTTCTCTTTGGGCAATGAAAAAGGCACAAATTCATCCTACTTTATTTTGAATATTAACAGAAAGTACCTATCCTGGAGCCTCATCATGACAAAGAAGAGCTGGCTGTCTCTGGAGGACAACTCAACAAAACTAAATTGTGGCATACCTCTCTTTGTTCCTCTTTCTCTGTGAAATAGAGAGCAGCCTATGGAAATGGGTTTCTCACTTGGCATGTCAGTGCAGGACATAGAGCTGGGCAGGATAAATCTAAATTCAGGTATGCAATCCCACCCAGTATCCACTGGGGACACTGGATAGCCACTGACATCATTAAACTGCTCCCAGATTTTTTCTGTAGAAAACACCCCTTCAAGAGCACAACAAGGACAGAACAGAGGACAGAGTCACGCACATCCAGACCTTCTTCCCAACCTTGTCAAACAAACAGCATTCCCTTTCTCCCTGCTCTTTTTCTCAATACTGAATCTACTCCTCACTTTCCACAGGAAGGGCAGGAAGACAAAGCAGCTAGTAGGGATGCCAACACTGTCCCTCCCTCCCTTGTCCCCAGGTTAAAAAGCATGACACAAAAGCAAATCTCTGTGGTTTCCCCTTATCATATCTTTGTTAAAGGAAGCAGCGCGCTCTCAATGCTGGGTTTTGGTTTCAGGATATGCCCTGTTTGCAATCAGCTCTGTGCAAGGACAGCCATTTTCCCATTCTCCCCTGTGTTGGGAGCAGACCCAACTCCCCCCTCAACACACACCCCCCTCCTCAGACAGTTATGGTTTGTCAGTGCTTTTTTGCTTTCCTCTCTAGCTCTTTCCTGCAAGGGAGAAAAACAGCTGCTGCCCTCCCCATCCCTAGGGAGGTCACCCAACCGTTCCTCTAGCCAGAATGTTTATAACTGGATGTGAAAGAGAAAATAAAAAGTCAAAATTCTGAGTATTTGGCAATTACGAGCACTGAGACTGGGGCTTTCAGGAACTATTTTATCCATTAATTCATGCACAGAAACTTGCCAGATTTGTAAAATTGGTATGATGGAGACTAACACTATCTGGTTTTGCCTGTAGTGTATTTTATGACCATTTAAAACAATGATGGCATTCAAGATGCATTCCTCAAGGAGGAACAAAGCTTTCACCCTAATGTTTTTTGAGGGTCATGAAGTAGTCTCCTAAACTTACAAGATCAGTGACCGTACTGATCTTTTTCCTGTTCTTTCCATCTGTCCCCATTGGTTCTTCTGTTCTGAGATGTCCCTGTGCAGAGTTCTGAATGATATCTTTGTAGTCTGAAGAGTTACTGGCTGCAGAGCAAGAAGAATTTGGGGTTATTATCTACACCCCCTTTAAAATTGGCCAGTTTCAGGGCTTTTGGATAGGTGAATGAGCCAGCTGTCAGCACTTTGTGGCAAGCGAAAGAGTAGGACCAAACATGTTGAAACCAGACCTCCTGTGTTTAATGGCAGTTGGACCTCTCGAGGAAACCACTGGGGCAGATACCCTGTCACATGCGGTTGAGCCGTTCCCTCTTCCAGTGGTTTCAGAGCAAAAATCACAAATGACACCCACAGACAGAGCCTTCTGGAGTTAATAAAATTATTTACTTTTTTTTTCACACAAAAAAATTTTGGATAAACCCGTCAAAATTTCCAAAACAGTGGCACGATGGAATACCTGCAGGCACAAGGCTTAAGAAAGGTAAGCACCCAGCCTGCAGAATAAGATGAGGGTGGATGATACTAAGCTGCTCAGGAATCACCTTTTTAATATCAGATTTTAGTATGTTTACAAAAACTGCCTCACTTTCTGAACTAATTGTAGTGCAAAAGCAAATTAATTTATTTGTTAATTTAATTTTTTGATCCTTTCTTCCCCTTTTGCCTAAATGATTTCTGAAGAGATATCATATTTGCAGCCTTATGTCCCAGATATCCTTGCAACTCCAAATGGGCATAAGATTTTAAATTAGCCCAAGTTTCAAACTGCAGTCAGGAATATTCTGCAAAAAAGGGGACGTAGAAAAGGCGTGAAATACTTGTTTTTAATAGAATGAGGTGAAATAAGTGACTAGAAGGCAAGTGTACTGCAGTGGCTGCAGCAGTGCCTCTGACAGGGAGCTGATTTCAAGTTTAGAAGTGTATCTATCCTTTTTTCTCACATTATGGAACAACTGTAAAATGTCAACATCTTGAGGAGGAGTGGTTGTGACCAGGCAGTTTTTTATGCAGTGTGATGTGAGCACCTAGCTGGGAGAGGGCTGAAACCTGCATCCCTTCTAAATGTAGCTGCCTCACATCTTTCTCCAGACTACACCCGAGAATTCAGAGGGGTCCCATTTTTGCACTGCAAAAGGAGAAACTCAGAGGAAGTGCAGATGGGATTCTGTGTCAGGCTGGATCTAAGCACTCTGCTTAACACAACAGGTAATGTTCACACTTTTGGTGATAGGTTTTCTCTTGCTACACATTTCTCTTGTTCCTACAGTTTTCTATTACAGTCATCAACAGGTTACACAACCCATTAATTAGGTATTGAAAAATAACAACATTCACAGAAGCGAAAAAAACCTTGATATATGCACATTAATCAGCATGTTGTCTGAGACCTTCAGAACCACAAAATGGATTTGATCATGCAACTCTCAGTTATTTCAGTGTTAAACAGGTGTCAAAAGACACCTCTCAGCAACTTAGATGTACAAAATTGAACATGACCATAATGTCCTAAAGCTCCAAAATAGGGGTGGGGACAAAGGACTATCCCTATGATATAGATCCATCCTGGTATCAGTCAGGACTCAAACCCCTGCTACAATAAACAATTGACTGCCTGAGGTCACCGTTATACCACCATTACCACCACTCCCCCCTTCCTTTCTTTAGTAGATTATGAGTATTACATTTCTACTCTAAAAAAATGAAGAAGGAATTAAAAGTTTCTACTTACCGAGTTGAGCCCCAGGAGGTTGTTTGGGAGAGAGGAAGTGACTCCTGACAGAATAGCTGGGGCTACCACTGCCCCCAGACACTGGGCAATGATGTACATGAGTGCTTTGAAGATGCTGATCTGGCAGCTCAGCAGGAGGCCCAGGGTCACTGCTGGGTTCAGGTGTGCACCGCTGATGTGGCCCACACTTTGTGCCATAGTAGCGATGGATAACCCAAATGCCAGTGAAACCTTCACATTGTCCTGAGACCTTGTTGAAGTTTTGTTGCCCACCACTGGGAAGCTAAAACCCAGAGCCGAGCCAATGCTGATAAAAATAAAAAGGCTCATGGCAAGGAACTCGGCCACCACTGCCCTCCAGAACATTTTCTTTTTGAATTCACTAGCCATCTTTCCTCTCTCTCACTTTCCCCTCCTCACTTTCCCTTCTCCCTCTCTCCCTTCCTTTGCCTGTTATTTTTCCTTTGAGGACTGAAGAGAAATCTGGAGAAAAAATACAGTCCCTGGATTATTTATAGGGCATTGGGTGGTCTGTAGGAGGGAAGGGGTGTTGCACAAAAGGAGGAAAGAACATCTACATCGATGCTGACTGCTAGATTGATGTAAGACACTGTACGCCTGTTCCCTTCTCCCTCTCTCCCTTCCTTTGCCTGTTATTTTTCCTTTGAGGACTGAAGAGAAATCTGGAGAAAAAATACAGTCCCTGGATTATTTATAGGGCATTGGGTGGTCTGTAGGAGGGAAGGGGTGTTGCACAAAAGGAGGAAAGAACATCTACATCGATGCTGACTGCTAGATTGATGTAAGACACTGTACGCCTGCCAAAGTTTTTTCTTCCTTCCCCCCCCCCCCAACCCACGGTTCCCCCCACCCCAGTGTTCGATCTCTGGTGCTGTTTTTAAGAGGCTTTTTTAAATTCTTGGAAAAGTCTTTAGGAGTGCTTCAGGAATATTACTTCAACTCCTGTATGATCATTCAACACACGGATTGGAATGAAAGCTTTTATGGGATTTCTGTCTCCAGCTGAACTGAAACAAAAAGCAGTTATCTGTGCAAGCCGGTAAGTTATTCATACTCAGCTTCACTGGCAGCAGATAATATCTGAAAGTAGCAGATAAAACTCACAACTAAATCCACGTTCTAGAGACTCAACTGCCTCTGTTTCATTTGAAAACAGGTAGAAATGTCTCTTCTGCTGGCTCTGTGGACTGTGACTTTTTTCTGATGCCAAGCCTGACAACTGTATGGACAAACACACACTCACACAAGCTGGTATTAACTGATGAACGGTAGGGATCACTTTGAATCTCTTGTGACCACCATGTAAATCTGACATAACACTGCAAATAAACTGGAAGCTTTCTATGAGTTCAATTTGGATGCTGAGGGACAGATTATTTGGGGGGTTTGTGGTCTGTTTTTTTAGTTTGGTTTGGTGTTTTTTTTTTTGGTGGGGGGTGGTTTGGTTTTTTTGGGGGGGTGGTTTGTGAGTTGTTGGGGTTTTTTTTTGTTTTGTTTTGCTTTGTTTTTATTTACATGATTTCTTCACTTTTTTTTCTTTCAAACGCAATGGTGTCTCAGGGTTTCCCCAGGCTTGCTCTAAAACACTCCTGACTAGCAGGAAAAAAGCCAATTTGGGGGGTTCCCAGCCCACGTTCTGCCATGAAAGCATATCCCACACCACCCTGCTGAAGGTTGGCTGTCCTGGCTGTCACCAGGGAGACTGGGTGCTGACACTGAGCCACAGGACTGGCCAGAGACAGAGACAGAAGGGGAGAGCAAGGGAGAAGGGAAATTACATGCTTGATTTTGCAGACAAAATGAGTATCCCTGCAGTGCCAGAGTGTTTTTAGGAGCAAAAGGTCTAACCGCCTCTGGTTTTATCACAGCGGGACTTGAATGCATGCCTCAGATTAACCCTTGCGTTCTCAGATCTCTGCCTTCTTTAACGGCTGTAAATCAGGGTGGCTGCTCCGACTTTAAACTACCCCAAGTCTGACCCAAACTCAGAAACTAACTCCCCAGACACAAGTCCTGAAAGATGGGTATTTCAAATCAACCTACTTCTCTGTCTCTTCTTTTTTCTCCCTCTTCTTACTTTAATGATCAGGTGTCAAGTCTAAATTGTACTCCAACTAATACAATTTTTTTTCACTTGGACAGTATGTCAGTACGAAGATAAAATCAAATACACACCTGGATAGTATTAGATAGTCAATAAGGGCTTTTAAAATATATTTGGCTTTCAAAAGGTTATTCAGATACAAATTTGAAGACTGTTTAAATAAAACTCCAGATGTCTTCAGCCTGTCATACCCAAATTCTTATTCTTTCTAGACATCAGATGGTTTTGATTTTCCATATAACCAAATTTATTTCCTTCTGTTTTGTAATACACTTACACAACAGAACTGTGCCAGTGAAAAAAGGAAAAAGCAAAGAAATGAGAACAAATTAATTATTGGTTTTACCCTTCTAATTACAGTGAGACTTCAATGAGGAACCATGTAACAGACAAATAAAAAATAAAATTTAGCTGAACATGATACATGTCAAAATTTTAATATGATCCAAATTATGCTTGATATATTCTGTTCAGTGAAAAATTTAATTTACTCAGGCTTGAAGATCTTAACTGACCAGTTTCTCTGGTCCTACCAAGCAGATGCCCAAGACATAGAACATATATCATACACCTCAGGGAACAGGGGAAAGCAGAGCTCTATAAATAGTTTACAACAGTTTCCATGTGTCCAAGATTGATACCTGTGGGATGGAGCTGCCTAGATACTCAGCTGTGTCCACAGGAAACTACCTTTTTACTCACTTCTTTGTACAGTTTGGAGCTGGATGACCAAATAACCTCTGTATCAGTAATGATAAGATGAGAAGAAATCCCTTACAGGGAAATTTCTAGAAGCCAGGAAATTAGGTTGGGAAAGTATTGCAAAATGTTTCCCTGATTTCTACAGTATCCTCTAGGTATCCCTGACTTGCCTGTGCTGGAGACAGGCTATCAAGCAAGCAAGACCTGTAGTCTGACCAGTGGCATAAGTGAACAACACAGTTAAATGTATCTTAAAAGCAGCAGATTGGTCACCCCCCTTGAGAGTTAGTTAATACGCTTATGTTTTCATCTTGGGACTCTCCATTGGTGTCTTCATAACTGCTACCCACCTCTCATTTCATATTTTGAAACTTGATGCCACAATAACTCAATAAAATTGACATTCGAACAGAAAAGAAAAAGAATAATCTGAAATAAATTAAAGACAGAAACTGTTACACATAAACAGGGAAAACACAAATCTAAAGGAGAAGTGCTATTAGCCAATCTTACCTATCTATGCTCTGATGTGAATAAAATCATGATCATCACTGCTGTGTGGTTACTAATTGCTTTCATGATTATGATACCCAGGGCCCCTACACCTTCAGGACTGCACAAAGACAGACAGCAGAGACAGCCTTGCCCTGTGTGTAGAAGAACCAACAAGTGGGGAAACAGAAGGAGACAGCAAAAAGAGAACAAATATTCTGCAAAATAAGTAGAGGGAATAGGCACAGTAGACAAGTTAAATCAACAGTATAAGTGTAACGAGGAAAGAGAAGAGAGAAGAGATGACTAGAACAGCAACATGTCAGTTCATAGAATCACAGAATGGTTTGTATTGGAAAGGAACTTAAAGATCATCTGTTTCCACCCTCCCTATCTAGCCTGGCCTTGGACCAGTTGGACCTCTTCAGAAATGTCCACTACAATGCACATCTAATTGCTGCCCAACTTATTATGTCACTTTTCAAAAAAATGAACTTCATCCCATCTTACTCAGGCTGATAGCAAAGACCACAGCACATGGCGAAGTGACCAGAGGCCTTTCTATCCAATCCCCATAAGCCACCAGGAAACAAACAAGGGCAAAATCCAGTGTCCTGCATATCAGATGACCTGGGGTTTGTGTACACAACCTTTCTAGGCATGGGTTTATTGTATGCGTTAAATCACATTTGAAGGCGGGGTTTATTTTTTTCTGGAATTACGTATCTAGAAATAGAGATAGATGCCAACCTCATATAAGTGTTTAGAACAGGCAATTAAGAACAAGAGGGACAAAGTAGCTTTTTCACAGATTATTTAAACCAGTATATTCTCAACAGCTCTCTGATTTAGTTGCACTAGAGACAGTTGAGTGAAAAATCAAGTTCACAGTACTAGATCTTTAACTGCCAAGATCCCAGGACCAGCTTATTTCTTTTGTCTGAAACAAATTAGGTTTTGAAGGACTGCAGCACAATCCCCACTTAATATTTTGGTCAGAAAACCAATGTACTTGTTGTTTAAGTGAAAGGGTTTGCTCTGTCAGATTGCTCAAGATATCTCCATTGGAACAAGAAACAAACGTCAGTGACTGCAAATTTAGTCTTGGCCAACATGACTTCTCTGGGAATTTTCCACTTAGGTGAAGGAATAGTCAAAATCGAAGGGCAGAGGGAATGTATGTCAGTCGAGCAACCAAATTATTGGAAAAAACAGGAGAACTTCAGCAAATTACAATTATTCTTCTCACGAAAAAAATTAGTTATCCTGTAACCCTGCCTGCCAAGTCTTTTAGCAGGCAGGCAGCAATTGCTAGGAAAACTATGTTACTTATGGTTTCAGAGACAACAGCAATTCCTACTTTCTGCCCATTGTCTTTCACCCCTCAGAGGAGTCACCAGATCTCACCAGTATGGAGAAGAGCAAAGCCATGAAGCAGGGAAGAGCTAGAGGATCACACGGAAAGGAGTTCATCACTGCCAGTTGGAATGAGAATGTTTTGCCATGTATTTTGTTCAGTGCTGTCCACACAGAAAGTTGGAGTTCAGAGACGGGGTTTTCTAAAGAATGATGCCATAGACATAAACAGATTTACACCAGTATTCAAGAACTGCTTCCTGGCCTCAGTTCACTTTCTGGCTAGAAGGAGAACCCTTCCCGTTTTGCTAATGTAAGTACGAGGTGGTAGCTGAGTCAATGTAAAGACACTTGGGAATTTCCCAGCAAGAGAGATGCCTGAGCATGACTGACACCTAACAGTATAAGTAAGGTGTGCAAGAACTGGGAAGGGGTTTAGACTGAATCCCTGGCTTAACACTCCTAAATCCAGGAAAGATGGAAGATTTCAGGCACATCCCCCTCTTTAGCATTTGGTATCAGCTAGTCAAAGCACCCACTTGGTCCATATGCTGACTGCTGAAAATTCCCTCCTTAGCTACTCATCTGACTTTGTTCCCTGTATAGTAAACTCAGAGTCTATAACATCCTCTTACAGAGTTGGTCTTTGTGAAGATGGACCTGAATATTCAAAAACTCATCTGGTAGGATTAGCAGTTATTTATCAACCACATGCTGTGCCAGTAGCCAAGATGGTATGCCACCCTTTAGTGAGCAAGATTCAAAGGCATAAAGTTCACATGATTACTTTTCATTTGAGTATTTTATGAT